CCTAAACATTAAAAATTGAATTCTTCTTGTAAGAGAAGTGTTATTCTAGTGAATTTATTCGAAAAACTTCAAGTTCTAATTTAGTGGCAAACAAATCTCATCTCTTATCTCTTTATCTCTTATTTCTTATAGAGTTAATTCCAGCAATGGTTCTCCGACTATATTGATTTTCCAAAATTAGTCCTTAACTTTTAATTTGGACACTTTAAGTCCCTTGACTTTCAATTTCTTTCCAATTGATGTCCTTTCATCGGAATACGGTTAATTGAATTTTAAATGAAGGAGTAAACTCATCATTTCACCTGCCTATGTATTATTCTTAGTATTTCTCCATTGTATACGCGATATATGTTGGGTAATATGGTTGAAAATTCCCAAAAATAATAATCCTACGAAAAGATTAATATTATATGGGAAAACAGAAAGAATTGGGAATAAAAAGGTTGAGTGTTTGGGTAAAGGTTTAGCACGAGTTCGAACACAAAGTTCTTTTCCTTAAAACCTTATTTGTTACCTCCCACAAGTGCTAGGAGCGTTGTAGCCTAGGTTTCCCAGGATAAAACGTGCTACGATTCCTTGTTTAAGCACCTAAACAAGGAACCCGGCAAACAAAGCAAAGCTTAGAACACTGGTTGGCTAAAAGAAGCAGAGTTTTGAGATGAAAAGCTACTGGAATTCCTTTGTTTCTCACTGTGTGTAAAATGCTACTGCTCTACCTCTCTTTATATAGGGATGTTGGAAGGGATAGCATTCAACATGGCCTTTAATTGGTATTAAACCAATTGTATAACACCTGTAACGGTCACCCACTAAGTAGGATTAAACTCATATTTAAAATTGGAATTAAAACAGTATTAATTCCGTAACAGATGAGTTTAATCTGTACAACAGGCTGAACTTTCGGGTTTCAGACCGTTGGGGTGCAGGTTCACACGAGAGCACACGGACCAGCAACACGAGAGTACATCTCTCGTGCTCACTGTGGTGCAACCCAAGAGTGCACCACTCTCGTGGTCACAGATGCACGAGAGTTGTGCTCTCGGTGCACCACAACCTCTCTTGCTCCTCTGTAGCACGAGAGTAGGTGCTCTCGGTTCGGTTCCGACCGAACCAAGTGACTATACCAGTTGGAAAATGATACCGAAGTTAGGTATAACTTATGCCCGTAAGGCTAGCCCATTTCCGGACGACATTCGTGCCCGCAGGTGCCGACGCACGCGAGCTCGGGCTTGATTTCAAGGCTTTTTGATGTCCTCTAGTTGGATTTTGATTTGCACGCGCGCGCGCGCGCGAGAGAGAGAGCCTCTATGCTATACAATTCTACAAGCTTGAAAAGAGCTCATGTATATAAGGGGGGCAAATCTTGTTTCCAAACCAATGTGGGACAAAGTCCTACATTTTCCCTTCATTTCCCAACTTAAATGGGTCTACTTTGAGAATCAATATCTCATTCACCCATTATCCGTTTTGAGCGTACAATATATCAATCTCTTCGTCTTACTACGAAGAATCCGAATCCACTTTGACCCGACCCAAATCGGAAGTGGACCCCACTAATAATTGTACCACAAAATAGCCACTTAATATGTCATTTTAAGCTAATTTTTCCAACAATATATATGAAGATAATCTTAGTAGAAACCCTAAAATGTTCCTCGTCATTCCCCATTTGTTGACTACTCGTGTGTGTGTTCCTCTATTATTGAGATGTTTACAAGGTATAACAGCGAAATACGAAGGGAGAAATACGAAGAATAATACATAGGCATGTGAAATGACGAGTTTACCCCTTCATTTAAAGTCTAATGAACCGTATTCTAACGAAAGGACCTCAATTGGAAATAAATTAAAAGTCAAGGGACCTAAAGTGTCCAAATTAAAAGTCATGGACTAATTTTGAAAAATCACTATAGTCGGAGGACTATTGCTGGAATTAACTCTTTCTTATAAAGTCACAGGATTTTACCAATCAAAGAAAATTTCAATTTTGGTCCACTGACTATTGGAGTTGTGTTAATTGCAACACTGGAGTTTTAAAAATATTAATTTAGTATATTGACTATGCAATTTTTATCAATTTTGGTCACACTGGCCAAATTACCGGCCAAATGTGACCGGAAAATTTTAAATCAATAATTAATCTTAAATGGAAAGGGCAAAATCGTCATTTTATGTGACCTCCTCCTTCTTCAATTCCTTGCACCTGCTGGCCGGAATTGCAACGCCAGCCGATCAGTATTCCTCCCAGACGATGACTTCTTCCTTGCACCATTTTCGGAATTGCAGCGCCGCGCCACATCGTCATTTCTTCTTCTTCCTTGGACCACTTTTATTTGTTACAGATGCTGTATATATATCACACAGTTTGGTTTTCTTTCCTGGACCATATTTATAAATTAACCATACGCTTGTTTGGGAAACATGGACACCGTAAGGCGCCATGTAATTGGATCTTGAAGATGACGCCTTTTCTGTGCGGGAATGGAGTTTCGGTTTCTAGGATCTTCGCTATCATGCCGCCGTACGGGTTCCATATCAGCAGCGGCAAGTCTTCTTGCAGGAGGCGTCTCCAAAGCCCTTCCAACCCAGATTCTGTGATGGGTTCTCTTATGAAGTTGGATTTGGCTTTGAAGAAGTTATGCTGTATAAATATATATCAGAAAGTTTGGTTTGCTTGTTGATTCATATTTTACCCTTTAAGTTTTCAGTCCTGGGACCATATAAATAAACCATGTATCTAAACATTGCACACACATTTTTGAATGCTAGTAAGATGAGTGTTTTTTTTCCTTAAATCTACTCTGGTCCAATGAAGAAAAAGAAATGATGGCGCTGCAATTCCGGCACAGGTGCAAGGAATTGGAGAAGAAGAAAGTGACATGAAATGACGTTTTTGCCCCTTTCATTTAAGACTAATTGTTGATTTAAAATTTTCCGGTCACATTTGGCCGGTAATTTGGCCGGCGTGACCAAAATTGATAAGAATTTCATAGTCAAGGTACTAAATTAATATTTTTGAAAGTCAAATGCTGCAGTTAACATATCTCCAATAGTCAGTGGACTAAAATTGAAATTTTCTCTTACCAATCAGATCATGTTTTCCGCGCAGTTTAAAGAGGGTGTTTTTGCCCCGTTGTTTAGCTTTTGCATGTTTTACGATTTTCTTTCTTAATTTGTAGCATTAGAATTCATTTCATTGGTCGGTTAAATTAGAGATATCTCTTAACTCTATTTTCATAGGTAGCGTGTTTAGTCAACTCACTCTGAAATTGTTTCTTTCATAGCTATATAATTAATGCTATTGGTTCAACTCTGAATTAGTTTTTTTTCCCAAGTTAATTGTAATGATTACTACGGCTATTCGTTTCCCTCTGTGCAGTTCGTGGTTTATAGCTTCTGACCTTTTTAATTTGTGGTGCTGTGACATGAATTAATTTTTTTTTTTCTCGAGTTAATTATAATGATTATTACGGCTATTCGTTTCCCTCTATGCAGTTCGTGGTTTGCATCTTCCTTTTTCCCCCGACTATGTCAGATTATTTGCATCATATGCGTGTACTTCCTTATACCTATATATACAAGCAATTGGAACAACCAATTTCACATTATCACTACTTCACATCTCTTCTCTTTAACTCAATATACTCAAGTTTTTCAATGGTTGGTCTGTTTGTTCTTGCTTCCCAACTCTGCCCAGAGTTCACCACCATGTAGATTTATTTCTGTAATATTACTTACATGCAAGTTTCTATCATCTGATATTCTGTTACAATAATTGTAGGATACTTTTGTTCATGCTCACATCCTAAAGGACCATGTTGAGAGGTGGACATGGTTGCAAAAATCGCGCCTAGGCCCTCGGCCGCCGTCGCGAAGAAGGTGGGAATCGGCCTCCTCCGCGGCCGGCTAGGCGGCCGCCAAGCCGACTGAACCGGCGCTTTAATATTTTTTTAAATTTTTTTTTGCGTTTTAAATTGCGAAAAGTTCGGGAAGGCATAACTTTTGACTCGGTTGTTCGTTTTGGACAATTTTTTTTTAAATCGCGTATTTTTTCGAGATCTATCCACTAATTTCTGAAGGCGCTTTGGTCCAGTAATTTCTCAAAAAATGCTTCTTTTGCTCTTAATTTTAGTTTTGTATGTATTTAGATAGTTTAAACAATCTTTTGAACACTTTTACAACCACTTACGTAAATAGTTTGTAAGAAATAACTATGTAAACCTTATGTTTTACTACTAAATTTTGAAAAGTTTTAATTTTTAATTTTATTTTTAATTAAAAAAATAAAAAAATCAGCGCCTTTGCGCCTAGGGGGCGCCTAACGTTTTTTGCAACATTGGAGGTGGACAAATTTCAAAGAGTGTAATGTGTACGGAATAAGGAATTTTCTATGTATTAGAAACTCTTTAACGTTCAAAATAACCTCTAATCGAAACAGATGTTTAGGATCAAATATATATCTTCACTGTTGGGCAAATAAGATATTGACTAATCGTTATATGATTCAATTTAAGAAAGAAACTTTGGTCAAGGAGTACAAGGGTATAGATTTTCCTAAACAGATGTTTAGGATCAAATATATATCTTCACTGTTGGGCAAAGAAGATATTGACTAATCGTTATATGATTCAATTTAAGAAAGAAACTTTGGTCAAGGAGTACAAGGGTATAGATTTTCCTAAACAGATATTTAGGATCAAATATATATCTTCACTGTTGGGCAAAGAAGATATTGATGGGAAGCTATTGATAGGTATAATATGTTAAGCCAATATGTGGCTAGTATTTCTTTAGTTGTTATTTTTTCTATTTGTGCTCCTATAGACTAGTTGTATTTGGTTGTAACTTTCTGCTATCTTCACTCCTCCATGTACTATATATAGGGTGTGCTTTACAATCAATAAACACACAGTTAATCTCTTTACATGGTATCAAGAGCCATATTCTCCTAAGGAGTTTTTTTTTTTTTTTTCCTCTCCTCTTTTGTCAGTCTTATATACATGGCTACCACCACCATTGACATTGTTCACCTCAATGCTCCGTCTAATTTTCCTATCAAACTCACCCCCCTCAACTTTCCTGTCTGGAGACGCCAAGTTCAGTCCACCTTGGTTGGCTTTAATCTCCTGGGATACATCGATGGTTCTATCAAAGAACCAGCAAAATTCAATGATACTGCACAAACAACTCCGAATCCAGCACATTTGACTTGGTATCGCCAAGATCAGATAATTACCAGTGCTTTACTTGGGAGTTGTTCAGACACCATACAACCTCTTATAGCTTCCGCACCCACTGCGTGTGATGCCTGGCAACGGCTCGTTGCTAACTATGCTAGCGCCTCCCGAGGACGGATCATTTCCCTCAAGGCCAAGCTTACCAGAAATCCGAAGGGTAATCGGTCAGTCACCGCCTTTTTGAATGACATGCGCTCAATAGCTGACGACCTCGCCCTGGCTCAATGCCCTATTTCTTATGAAGACATGGTTGTGTACATTTTAACATAACTAGGGGACGAGTACAGCTCCATCGTGTCTGCCGTTCGTGTCCGTGACAAACCCATTTCTTTGGGAGAATTAGCCGATGTGCTCACAGATCATGAGCGTCAGTTGGCTAAAGTTGATGATGCTCGCCAATCTCTTTTGGCTACTGCCAATGCCTCCCAGCGTGGTCCTTCGGCTTCTCACAATAGTCAGCACTCCACTGCCGATCGGAGGTCTCGCAACAACACCAACAACACGTATGGCAATAATAGACCGAATTGGTCGCACAACAGCAACACTCGACCTGGTGTTGTGTGTCAATTCTGTCACCTTGTTGGCCATGAAACTCGTGTTTGCCGTAAGTTAGCCCGGTTCTTAAAGGCCCATAATGTGTTTCCACTAGTACAGAAACAGTCATTCGCGTCCAAAGTTAAGGCTAATTCGCGTCCAAAGTAGCTGGGACGCAGATGTCGGGGACGCTGATTGTATAAACAATTCGCGTCCTAAGTTGAAGAACTTTAGACGCGTATAGTATTTTTTATTAAAAAAATAAACACCATATGCGTCCAAAGTTCATGAACTTTGGACGCGTAAAGTTAATATTTTTTTAAAAAAAATACAATACGCGTCCGAAGTTTAAGAACTTTTGACGCTTATAGTCATTCTTTTTAATAATATATATATATTTATTTAATAAAACTAGCAATATTTTCCTGTACATTCTAACATAACTATCAACAAATAATATACTTCAACATTAATCAATTTATAACACACCAATTCAAAAATTTCAATTCTAATAACACCCTTTAGCTTAGAAAAGGAATATCAAATTGTCAAACTTTAACAATTAAACATATAGTTGTGCTCATCATTCTTCACTTGAAACTTTTAAGTGGGAAGAAGTAGGGGAGGTATATGCATTCAACAAAGTTAAGGACAAGAAAGCAATAAACTAAGTTATGCATCCCATGTTCCCAGAGATCATATAAATCAAAAGAACCCTTCATAAACATTTTTTGCTACCCAAAAGAACTAGTCAAATTGTCCAAAAGTTACCTCACATTTGTTGAGGTTTCTGTTTCCAAAAGCTTTAAACTTCAACTTTTCAAAGTCTAACAGACAGTAACATAAGCCATCTAAATAATTAGCCATCCAGTTTCAAATCAATAAGGGAAGAAAGTTGGAGAGTATAGACTAAGCCTCATAACTGCTACAAAGAGAGCAGAAATTCCTCTATAGAACTAAATGCTATTAGAACTTCCTCATCTATATTTTAAGTTTATAAATTATAATTATTCAACTTTCTCCATCACAACAATGTCTAACATATACAATAACACACAACAAATCTAAACTAAAATAAACAATAAATATTAGAAAAGAATCACAGAACAAATGACTCCCTGGTGGCATCAATTTTTTTTATCCTTGTGAATATATGCTGAATAAATAAATGCATCAGCATTTTCCAAATAAATAAGTAACCATATCAGGATGGAGAATGAGGCTCTTCAAGTACATTTACACAGATTTCTAACTGTCACCAATTATCCATTATATTTTATTGAATCCCACTAATGATAGCATCAGCAGTTGGGTAAATGTACAGAACTAAGATTTCAATGAAACTTCATCAGATAAGGAGATAGGATATACTCATAAGTCTTAAAAACTAAAGCTTTAAACATTATATACTCAATGTGCAGTCCTGATCTGTAAATAGTAGCCCGATGATATTTACCAGAAAATAAACAATTAGATAAGTCTTAAAAGGCTTTGCTGTCAACTTTAAATGAATAACATCAGAATGATCAGATTAGAGAACTATAAAGAAAACTTAAAACACACCTTTTGGAAAAACACCACCAACTTGTTTGCAAATGGAATAACTTTAGTAATGTGAGCTACAAGAGCAGAGATTGTATTCAAAACCTGAACCTGAAAATTTCAAGGAAAAAGAAAACATTGGCGATAGTATTATTCTCCAAAGCAACAAGTGCGGAAGAGAAGTAGAGTCAGGATAGAGATAACAAATATTTTACAACCTGTTCAAAGTTACACAAGCCTTTTCTCCAGAGCATTGTTTAAAAGTTTCTACACTAACAATAAGAACAATGTTAACCTTGACAAAGGTGGCTAAGATGTTAAGTTGTTAAGAATCTAGATGTTTGAGAATCCTCTTCAGCTTGGCTTGGATAAACTCAGATCAAGTCTCTACTGCCAAGTTTAATAGGAGAAAGCCAAATTCAAAGACTCATATATTGAACAAACCTAATTGTAGCTGTGAGCAGATATTTTCCATATTGACAAACATTACTGTTAATTATATGTAATACTTTTTATGTTCATATGACTTTTTCTCCTCTCAACAACAATAATACTCCGTAATAAATAAACCTCAAGAAACAGAGGACAAATAACCCACATAACCTACTAGAAATCTAGAATTACTCTTAGTGAGGTTCAAACCTATGAACAAGGGTTCTGGCCTCAAGGCTCTTGACATTTAAGCAAGGCCTTGAGGTTTATCTACAAAAAATATTAGTAATATAATTCACTCTAAAAGTTATGCTTGAAAGGTTATTTTAGTACTTGTATTATACATGCTCAGAGAGTTAATACTAGCTCAATAATCCAGCAATTCAAAATTGAGTTCAAACACGAATTTAAGCTTAAGAAGCCAAACCATAACTGGGTAACTTATTAACTAACCAAACTCAAACAAATATCATTGTTTGGCTATTAAAAGAGCAGAATGCAAGCCAAGCCTGCCTGAAAAACTAAGCAAGCCACATTAGTATCATACCAAGCTTGGCTCAACTACAATTTGACTAATACAAGGCAAGAAAATTCTTAATTCAGGTTCCTTATTCCACAAGTGCATATAATACTGATGAGAAATTTCCCTTAGCTGCTCAATGATTTTGCCACTTTGTCAAAAATAAATGTGTACGTTCATAAGAATGAAATGAAACTTATACATGAAATACCTTACGAGAAGAAAAATTCACAGCCCTTGCAACTGCACCAGAAGACAGTTGTTTAGAAGGAAGTGTATACACATCTTCATAGTACATATCTAGAATATCAGGAGAATATTCTCTTAAATTTAAATGGCGTAAAAAGAATGACACACTACAGGGAAATAAGCTAGGAAGAGGCAAAAATTACTCCCTTACTTGGTAATTAATTGAGCTACATCTGCCTGCTTCTTCACTAATTTACAGAAAGCATCAACAGCCATAATCAAGGCTTTTTTCCTTTTCCTGCCCAAAGAAAGAACACTATGATGTTGTCCAGTGTATGAATTGATAAAATTAAACTTTTCTTTATGCAAACTAAGAAAAACCTTTTCCGAACTTGAAGAGTGGAACTCTTCCCAATATATCCTGAAGTCCAATTCCAGTTCTCGTTTGCCTCTGTTTTCAAGGGTAGAGGAGAAACAGCAGCGACGGGGCGGCGACCTCGCAGCGACGTGGAGCAGTAGTAGCAGCGACGGGGCGACGTGGAGCGGTAGCAGCGGCGGCGGGGCAGGACCTTGCGATGCAGCGGCGACCGACGACCTTGCGACGACGAGGCTGGGGACGAGATACATCGACTTTCAAGCATCTCGTAGTTGAGTGATACTGCCATCCCTTTCCAGCTCAGAAGCTTCCTTCTTCCTTGAGTCTGCGCTACCATGTAGTTAGGTAGGGATAGTCAATCCGTAGTGACGGCGGTGCTGGGAACGACGACGAACGACGGGCGACGGTGAATGGAGAGCGACGCTGGGTGAATGGAGATCTGTTTGGGCGAGAACTGCTCGACGGGCGGGTTTTTTTTTTTTTTTTTTTTGAAGAAACCCTAATACTAGGCGTCCAAAGTACTCAATTTTGGACGCCTATTATCTTTACGGGCCAACTATAAGAGTCCAAAGTTGACTATTTTGGACGCTTATAATGTTTGTTAATTCGGCCGCATAACAATGGGCGTCCAAAGTTCTTCAACTTTGGCCGCCCAGTGTTTTATATTAAAAAATAAAATTAAAAATTAATTAACTAGTGGCATTTTAATTACTAAAACGCCATCGCCTCCCACATTACGCGTCCAAAGTCTAAATTTTGGACGCATATTATTCAATTTTATTGATATTTTTTGTACTAGTGTTCCCGTGCAGGCTTCTACATTTCCTCAGTCTCAGTCATCTGCAGCTAATTCTATTGTGGGAGCGACTACGCCGTGGATGTTTGACAGTGGGGCGTCTCACCATGCCACACCGGATATGTCTCCTCTGCACACTTTCACCGAGTATAATGGGCCTGATGGGATACGACTGGGCGACGGTAATTCTTTAAACATCTCTCACATTGGTCAGTCATCTATTCTCACTCCTTCTTCCGTGCTCACTCTCCAAAATGTCCTACGTGTTCCACAGTTGCATAATAATTTAATATCCATATCGCAATTGTGCAAAACTAATCAAGTGTCGGTGGAATTCTTTGATTCCCACTTTCTTGTGAAGGATCTTCGAACGGGGATGTCGTTACTACGGGGGGCGAACATTAATGGTGTCTATTATGCACCTCTCCTGCGTCAACCTACATCCAATTCCATGCAGCTGTCTCGCGTTTCCCAGTGACACAATTGTCTAGGCCATCCGTCTAATAAGGTGTTGCATCGTGTGTTGCAACACATTGCAACGTTTCCATATCTATTCCTTTATTTTAAACCTGTTTTTATTACTTTACTCTTCAATTTTTTTTACTGCTGATACAATTATATTAATTTACTTTTTGGACATGTAAATTTCAAGATGTTCCTGGTCGTGTTGTTGAAATATTTTCTCCTGTTGAGAAAGTCGTGAATGGGAGAAATACAACTCTTCTCGATTTTGTTATTGAAGATGCAAAGTAAGTATAATTTTATATATATAAGTTTTTTCTGTGTTCATATATAATATTTATTGGCTGTTTTTGTTTGTAGATTAATGCACTGCTCATTGTTTTTTTTTTTTTTTGTTTTTTTTTTTATAGCCAAAATCATATTCAGTGCACTGTTTGGGGGCCACATGTGGAGGCTTTTCGACCTTATTTTAATTCAACCCAAGCTGATCCTTTAATTGTTTTGCTGTAACTTTGTAGGGCTAAAATATTTGACAGTAAGTTTTATTCTTTTAAATGTTTCTCTTTTCTTTTAATTTGGAGATGTTTTTTTTAAATTGGATTTTTTTTTTAAAGATGGTGAAGTGCATATTACCAGTTCTTTTGATGCTACAAAGGTTTCATTTAATCTCAATTCACTTGAGTTTTACAGTTTCAAAAAAAGGTAAAATTGTTATAATGAGATTTGACAGAAACTGAAATTTCATTCCAGCAAATGAGATTTTAGTGCAGTTTGGAATGAAGTATATTATTGGCAGTTGTTCAAGTAATGAAGTTGTGGTGACTAAGGTGGAAGATATTTATGCAAGAAAACAGGTGAAAAAAAAAATAAGAATCACAATTTTTTAGATAATGTTTTACTGTTTTATGGCGTGGTTAGCTTATCTAGCATGTTATCTTAACAAAAAATCTCTTACTGTTCAGTTGTGTGTGTATTGGATGTTGGGAAACATCCAAAGGCAAGGCTTCAAGTGGAAACTCGTTTGATAGTCATTTGCTTAAAATGAGTATCCCACACTGATTGGCTAGCTTTCCTTTCACTCCCTTATATTCTTGAACTCCCTAAAGAAAGCTTGAAGTGTTATGGAGAGGGAACAAGGGGAAAACCTCGCGCGCCGCCCGCTCGACACGCGAGGTGTGGTGTAGAAAGTTTTGTTCGGACATTGTTATCTTGATCCCTATTTTAGTGGATCATCACAAAAATTGTCTGAATAATGTGTTGCTAGCAGTGCTCTTTATTCTCCTCATGTGGCCTACTTTCTTGCTACCACAAATAAGCTATTATTTTGGTAAGGTTGTAAGAAAGTTAGGCAGTAGTATATAAGCATTGCATGGCCGAATGTGTTTGACACTCCAACAAAACTTTCTAATTAAGCTAGTCCCCAAGTTCTAAGATTCATATATTTATTTGTTTCTGTGCTGTCTGTCGAAGATATAACGATACCCTGGTCGTTAAATATCTTTAAGATAGTGTTGCCAAACACGACACAGAACGCTGCCGGTTTCCTGTCCCGAAGCAACAACACGTCGCAAATATTCATTCCAGGTATTCATTGCTGTTAATTTACACAACAGTTAAAGATATTTAAAAAATCAGGGAGGCGATGTCTACTGCAATGAAGCCAGCTTCTGATGTCACACCCATCGAAATTCTCACCGGCGGTATGAACTACAAACGATGGGCCGCAAGGATTGTCATGTTGCTGGAAGAGAAGGATGTTGACTACGTAATTTATGATGATCCCACCACCTTCATCCTGACTGCGGCCACGACTGCGACCGCCACTTCTGCCACAACCGGGGCAGCTGACAAGTCGGACAAGACAGCTGATGAATCGGACAAGGCAGCTGATCAAGCTCCTGCACCGAGGCCTGTACGAAGCACGTCACAGGTCTGTCCAAAATATGTGAAAGACTCGCATTTATAAGCAGACTGTAAATCAGTCCGCACGCCGTTGGCAGTCAACGGTAAAGTACACTCGGTGGAGTGGAATGTCTGTGCTGAGACAGACAAAACAGGGTTAATACATGGTTATCCAATAACTATACAAAGTGTACAACGAACGGAGCTAACGAGGTGCACATAAGTTCAAAATTCAACTAGCCGAAGAGTTCAAGACTCTGTTCACTCTCGGATAGTGGATTACTTAGTGCCACTACTTGTCAGTTCAAGTTTAACACACTGACATGAAAGCTAGCTCTTATTGTTATACTCAGTCGCTCTCCGTCAAGCCTTACACCTTCGAATGTGTGGGGGATTGTTGGGAAACATCCAAAGGCAAGGCTTCAAGTGGAAACTCGTTTGATAGTCATTTGCTTAAAATGAGTATCCCACACTGATTGGCTAGCTTTCCTTTCACTCCCTTATATTCTTGAACTCCCTAAAGAAAGCTTGAAGTGTTATGGAGAGGGAACAAGGGGAAAACCTCGCGCGCCGCCCGCTCGACACGCGAGGTGTGGTGTAGAAAGTTTTGTTCGGACATTGTTATCTTGATCCCTATTTTAGTGGATCATCACAAAAATTGTCTGAATAATATGTTGCTAGCAGTGCTCTTTATTCTCCTCATGTGGCCTACTTTCTTGCTACCACAAATAAGCTATTATTTTGGTAAGGTTGTAAGAAAGTTAGGCAGTAGTATATAAGCATTGCATGGCCGAATGTGTTTGACACTCCAACAAAACTTTCTAATTAAGCTAGTCCCCAAGTTCTAAGATTCATATATTTATTTGTTTCTGTGCTGTCTGTCGAAGATATAACGATACCCTGGTCGTTAAATATCTTTAAGATAGTGTTGCCAAACACGACACAGAACGCTGCCGGTTTCCTGTCCCGAAGCAACAACACGTCGCAAATATTCATTCCAGGTATTCATTGCTGTTAATTTACACAACAGTTAAAGATATTTAAAAAATCAGGGAGGCGATGTCTACTGCAATGAAGCCAGCTTCTGATGTCACACCCATCGAAATTCTCACCGGCGGTATGAACTACAAACGATGGGCCGCAAGGATTGTCATGTTGCTGGAAGAGAAGGATGTTGACTACGTAATTTATGATGATCCCACCACCTTCATCCTGACTGCGGCCACGACTGCGACCGCCACTTCTGCCACAACCGGGGCAGCTGACAAGTCGGACAAGACAGCTGATGAATCGGACAAGGCAGCTGATCAAGCTCCTGCACCGAGGCCTGTACGAAGCACGTCACAGGTCTGTCCAAAATATGTGAAAGACTCGCATTTATAAGCAGACTGTAAATCAGTCCGCACGCCGTTGGCAGTCAACGGTAAAGTACACTCGGTGGAGTGGAATGTCTGTGCTGAGACAGACAAAACAGGGTTAATACATGGTTATCCAATAACTATACAAAGTGTACAACGAACGGAGCTAACGAGGTGCACATAAGTTCAAAATTCAACTAGCCGAAGAGTTCAAGACTCTGTTCACTCTCGGATAGTGGATTACTTAGTGCCACTACTTGTCAGTTCAAGTTTAACACACTGACATGAAAGCTAGCTCTTATTGTTATACTCAGTCGCTCTCCGTCAAGCCTTACACCTTCGAATGTGTGGGGGATTGTTGGGAAACATCCAAAGGCAAGGCTTCAAGTGGAAACTCGTTTGATAGTCATTTGCTTAAAATGAGTATCCCACACTGATTGGCTAGCTTTCCTTTCACTCCCTTATATTCTTGAACTCCCTAAAGAAAGCTTGAAGTGTTATGGAGAGGGAACAAGGGGAAAACCTCGCGCGCCGCCCGCTCGACACGCGAGGTGTGGTGTAGAAAGTTTTGTTCGGACATTGTTATCTTGATCCCTATTTTAGTGGATCATCACAAAAATTGTCTGAATAATATGTTGCTAGCAGTGCTCTTTATTCTCCTCATGTGGCCTACTTTCTTGCTACCACAAATAAGCTATTATTTTGGTAAGGTTGTAAGAAAGTTAGGCAGTAGTATATAAGCATTGCATGGCCGAATGTGTTTGACACTCCAACAAAACTTTCTAATTAAGCTAGTCCCCAAGTTCTAAGATTCATATA